CGAATTTTCAGACTGTTATGAACTTTCATATGCTCAGGATTCTTTTAAAGGAAGGGATTTTTAGGTTGAGAAAGCAATTGAATTGGGTTTACCTCTGTGGACAGAGGCTGTACATTTGGCACGTGCCTGCCACAGATCGAACATGGATCTGGCTGGGGGAGCATGTGAGTTGAACAGTTTGCTTTTGTACATCAAAATGAAATTTTTTTACTTTACTAGATTTGAGCCGATTTTAACCTTTTTCATTCAAAGTATCATTTTGAGCTGTCACACTTTTGATTTCAGATTACATCGTAGGATCGGATTTTGTGGATAATGAGGATAGCGCGCAGTATGCATATCATGAAATAGGTAAGGTACCTCCAGCCCTCCTTGTTAGATAAAGTCATATAGTGCAATCATGCGTCCTTTGTGGCCTCGCATGTTTTCGAGTGCGCATAAAACTAATTGTACAAGCGTGCTCATACTGCTACCATCAAATTTTTTTTACTCTATGGCGAGTAATGCGCTCAACATAGCTTACATACGAGAATTTAGTTTAGTTTCTTCTTGACTGATGTCAGTGACCGTTTTCATTCCATATATCTGTAATTCCTTTAAGATAATCATGAGTGTAATTTTTTTGTTCAAAATTGAACCTTCTCATTAATTTTCGGGGTCGCAATTTCCGTAATTATTTAGTTTTATGCAAGATGTTGCAGGTCGCTATCCGGACATCTATACGAGAAAATCTTCTAAAACTGCACAAGGACCACTTCGACGGAAGGAAGGTGTAGATCATTCATATGATTTGCATACTTACAGCTTGCTCTATCCAAAAGGCTCATGTGAAAATGTGCCAACCTTGCCCCGTATGTGTCCTTCCACTTAGTTTTTTTGATAATACCCAGTTTTACATTTTTAGCTCGCAGTACTAATGCTAGGGAGCGTTTTGAAAGTGATAAAAGCAAGCACATCCAACTACTTCTTGAGGGAGTCAGCTCAACGGAGCTTGAAAACTTCCAGTCTGAGCGTAGTTCATTGGAAATTTGTGAGGTAATAAATCTTTTTGAATACTTTTTATGCTTCTTGAACTACGCATTCTTCTCGTAGATATCTGATGATGAGTCCATATGCACAAAAAGTTGCGTGGAGACCTGCGAAACTCCAACGAGTGAAGAAGCAGACAATCCTCCTAATAAATCACATGGCGAGCATAAAACTCCCAAATCTTTATCGAGAGAGAAACCTAGCCAGAAAGCACGAAGTGAAGAAGAGACATGCGCACCACCTATCAGAAGTATGAAGACCTCAGAATCTAACTTGAAGGACAAAGACGAAATTCGATTTGATTTTTCTTTGTGCGATGCGCAGTTATCACGCTGTTGCGATGTACCATCCACATTGCCTACCAGAAGTTTTGCTCGAATGGACCGAGCAGAGTTTGAGCGCCGATTACGGGCTGAAAATGAGGCGCGGAAGGAAAAGGAGAGGTCGTTTGCTAATGCCTCTTCTCATGGTGATTCTGAGCTTGAGGATGCTCACTGTAACACGGGGACGGAAATTGATGATGCTGTTTCGCAATTAGGTGAGCTTACATTGATTTTAGCAACGAAATCACTCACCTTTTTTGGAAATTTTCCGCTGTAATTCTTTAAATTCCTTATTTCAACTTCAAATTAATTTAATTTAGAAATTTAAATTAGGAAAATTTTAAATAAGATTAAATAAGATTTTTTGCATCATTCTCTGTTGAGAAAGGAAAAAATGACTTGTTGATTTGCAAAATAAAACAGGAGTATCTTTGCTTTACTTTTAGCACCGGACAGTGAAATGAACGAGGTGATAAGCAAACTGATGAAGGAGGATGTGACCGCAGAGTTCACAGACGCTGGGACACCAACAAAGTCAAAACGACATTATGTGGAGCCGTTTGATGGTAGGTACTTCAAGATTTTAATCCGCTTTCGTGATTTATATTAATGGCCAGACTGGCAGCGGAGTAGATGTAGTCATAGATCCCCACTTCCTTGACCTAAAACCCGCTTTGGTTTTATCACGTTAAAGAAAAATGACAGATAATTTAAACTTCATTTGAGTCAACTACAGCTCCATAGCTATAGTATTTTAACTCACTTGGCCAGGACCCTACATGGGTTCAACCATGGTAACTTCATTCATATAAATATCAATTCACAA